ATAGGTGTATACATATGTAAACACATTAATTCACAAAAATAGACATATTGGCCTATGTACATATATTTATAAAGCAATATATACTAAGGTAGTGGACAGACTTCGGGCCTCTGCTCATGCCCTCCCTCAATGCAAGAACACTTTGTTCTAACAACCTGGCATTCTATGATGCTCACCGTCCAGGCACAATCACTGAAGACAAAATGGGTGCATAAATAAATATGGTGAAGAAAGCTTATGGTGCCTGATTATCCAAAGATATAGGGTCTGGGGTCTTAAAGGCTTGAAGGTAAACAAGCAGCCATCTAGCAGAAAAGAAACAAGCCCACATGGAAGAAGCACTCAGCAAAGGGGGTCAGAGCAGAGACCCCAAACCCATCTGTAGACAATGGGACATCCCCTCACAGAAGGGTCACAAAGAAGGGATGAGTCAGCTAGGGCACAGTATAGCACAGATGAAACACACAATATTCCTCTGGTTCCTTGAGGTTTCCTCACCCCCCACTATCATGACCCCAGTCCTGCCTTCGACTTGAGGCTAGACCGGAGCCTGTACACAGGTACAGATAAGAGATAAGCGCTCACGACACATGGAATCCAGGAACATGAATGAGAGTAGCAATACCAGGAGGGGAGGGGGAAGGTGGGGAGAGTAGGGGAGGATGAGGGAACTGATCAAAATGATTGACACATAACCACCACCACCACCCCCAGTATGAACAACAGAAATCATGGGGAAACAGAGACAGCAGTTGGTGTAAGATCTGAAAATAATAATAATTTTTAATTTATCAAGGGGTCACAACAGTCGAGGGAGGGAGGGAAAAAAGAGGAGTTGATACTACACGTTCAATAGAAAGTAAATGTTTAGAAAATTATGATGGCAACATTGTACAAACATGCTTAATACAATTGATGTATGTATTGTTATAAGAGCCCCCAATAAAATGATTTCTTCATTGAAAAAAGAAGAAAGAAAATTAAAAACTGAATTGATGAGAATAAGGTCAGAGAAGTTACACCAAGGATTTTTTTTTCTTCCAAAATCAGGATATCAGGGCTAGCAAGGGTTGTTCTACGACAATTTCATTGGGAAACTTCACCCTACTCACCCTATGGCCCTGTCCTACCCCTTCAGACTTCTCTTTGTTCCTCAAGCGAAAAGAACATTGAAAAAAAATAAGATCTGAGCTCCTTGTGGATATTAAAACTGATGTTTTAAAGCGGTGTTTATTGGGCCAACCTGGCCGATAAACACAAGTGGGGTTAATTGAAGGGCGGCGAGCTAAATGGCTCCATGAGAGATAAATGGTTCTTAGGTCTCTTGCTTTGTGATGGTCGGACCAGGGTGCAGCTGCCTTAGCAGTTCCCTGCTTCAGCTTGCAAGGCTGACTCCCTACAAGAGAAGGGAGAAGCCGCATGGACCTACCCCGATGCAGCCCTGGGTGCTGGAGCAGTCGTGTGGAGACCCCTGCCAGCGCTGAGATGTTTACAATTCACTGACTCGGCTTTCCTCCTGCAGTTGGCGTCATAGTGTGTGTTTTGTGAGATGGAGGAGGACTTTGCGGATTGGTGTTGGACATATGGGTTAATGTTGGACTTGTGGGCTTTGGTAGCACTGGGTTGGGATGTTTTCTTGATGCACACTAACCCTTTATATAAAACTTTCTCTTATACAAGAGTTTCTGTGGATTTGTTTCTCTAAAGTACCAAGATTAACAAAGGCCTCCCTAACACAAGAATCTAATAACCTGGCACTCTGATACTCCCCTTCACGACATGATCACTGAAGACAAAA